TTTTTTTTCATTTGTGAATTGGTTTGTTTTCGACATTGGGTCGTCGTGGTGTTGGGGTGAAGTGTGACGAAGACTTCTAGTTGATGGTCTGAGTTGGGGTAGGGTCTGTAGTTTTGGATCTAGTGCGTTGGTGTACTACAGTTTCTGGATCTGCAATTGCGACCTAGGCTGTTTCTCTATCCGTGGGTGGTCACCCTAGGTGCCAGTGTCATTTTTTTAGTTGGAGTGGCTTGCCGGCTGTGAGAAGGGCTTTTTTTTACTGAAACGATAGATATTATTATAATCAAAAGCGCACAAATGTGTGAATACAAAACAATCAACGGCTGAAAAGGGGGAGGACAGGTCAGGAGACCGCCTAGAATCCCGGCTAGCAATGCTAGAAAGAAAACTCAAAACAACAACATAACTACGACGACCCCCCACGGAGGAATGAGAAACGACCCCTTACGGAGTAATGAAAAACGACCCCCAACGGAGTAATAAGAAACTGAGGCCAACGTCCCAAACCGAAAACACGAGTCCTACACAACACAGACACCATCAACAAGAAATGAACCAAAAAAACATAAATAAAAACAATAAATACATTCAAGGCCCTTCCTCGACAAACAAAACCGGCCGCATACAACAGAGAAACAGTCGATCCAAGGAAGATCCTAAGTCTCGGGCACCACTACCGAAACTGCTGAATCGCCTATACAATAGTCGGACCTGAGCTCCAGACCAAACCCCAAAACGACCCACCCCCAACCGAGAGAAAACGAAATTATCTCCCCACACCATCGCAACCCGAGCTCGTCTAACACCACTAGTCAAGTTCAGGTGCTCCGGGCCCTACCCGACCTCAACACCAAAGAACCGGGGGGAGAGAGCGAATCGATTCTGCTACTCTGAGTGCACCGACACATGATGCCGCCAGAGCCCCGCCCACCTGTCGTCCCTCGAACTAAACAGCTTCACCTCGAACCGTCGGCAACCAAGATGAGAAGCCCCAACGGGACCCCGCTGGAAAATCGCAGCCGCCCGCGGGGAGACAAAAAGTCGCCGATAAAAGCAGATTTAGGGGAAGACCACTCCCTGTCGAGACCCTTCGGCAATCGACACCACCAATCGCAGGCCAAGCTCCAACCGAGAAGATCTCCACCTTCATCAACCAGTAGTGCACCGGTGACCTAGGGCAAGAGCAACCCTCCACATCTTAGAACCGCCGCGGCAAATCGAGGGTACGAGACATCAGAGGGTGGCCGAGCAGTCGGGGGCGACCACTGGTCGACGTGGAAGGCAAAGCGCGGCGTAATAGGAGAGAGCGATGGAGGATGATATTTCTTTTTTTTTTTTTCTCACGAAAGAGTTGAGATATGGATTGCGAGAAGGGCTTTAGTCTAGTATTTGTTCGTTTACTGTGTTTAAATTTTTGTATGTGTTGGTATTTTATTCTCCCTTTTGGAGTAAGTATTCTCCATCAATGGGAGTTTGTATTCTAATTTTTTAGTTTTTTTAGTCAGGTGTGTTTATTTTGTAGTTTACAGGCTACAGTTATTCTGACTAGTACACACCCCTTTGTATTCAACTTTTGACTGTTTTAGTCGGCTAGTTAGTCGTTTGTAATTATGTGTTTATTAATGAATTTTGTCGTCCTAACAAAATTGTGATTTTACGATTCAATAAAGTAAGTTAATATTAAAAATATGATATTCGAATTTGATTTTGAGTTTGTGAATGAATATGTATTAAAATGTAATAATTGGAGTTGATGCGTTAAGTAAAATAATGATTGAAAAGATTTGGTTGTTACAAATATATTTTATGAGTGGATAAATAGTGAATTTTACTGAAATATTTATTTATTATTTAATTATATTAATAATACTAATAATTAGATTTTCGTTGAATTTTGAGATAAAACTTTGCAGTTAACCGTGGTTCCGTATACAAGAGGAAAAGGTAGGAATGTAATCACGATATTTCTATTGGTTTAACTAACCGTGGTCCCCGGCGCCTTTTTCTCCATTTGCCATTATCCCGCTTTTAAAAATGGAACCGTCCATTTGAATAGACAAACTTAAAATTTTCTATGAGCCAATAGAAATTCGACATATG